GTCAAATGTAGAGGTGAGATATAAAGGAATCTAACCAGATTTGCTACGTTTGGGTAGTTTAGGATGTGGATTGCATGTCAATAAACAGGTCTTGGGTAGTGTATTGTACTCCCTTGTGTATTACATTGCAGTTGGCACCTTGTTTATTTGGGGAGCAAACTCTTCCACACAACCATCTCTAGTATTACTGATTCTAGAAATTTAAAACCAACCCACACAGGAAATGAAGGGATTATGCACTGGCAGAACTGTACTGTGTTTTTAAACTAGGAAGGCTTCTTACTAGTAGAAAGACTGCCTGAGATCTTCCTCATAAAATCTGAAGGTCTGGCAGCAGAGTTTTAAAAAGGGCCCTTTGAAACAGTACATGTTCCCTTTTCCACCCTGCCCTGGGGCATCATTCTTGTGAAGTGATGCTTAGCAAAGTTTGGTCATGTATAGAAATTGGAGGTGAGGGAAAGAAAGGGATGTTCTTTCATCAGGAAAACGAGGGATGTAAAGGGAAGTGCTTCTCTTCAGCCCCCTCTTCTCATTCCTCTCTTGGTTCCATTCTATCAGTTTGCTGCTTGTCACTGAGGAAAACAGAACTGCTTCTCCTTTACAGTGGGAGGGAAAGATTTGTTGCTAGATGATGAGTAGAAGGCAGCAGAGGTTCCACAGACAGCACAGGACGAAGTGTCTTCTGATTTATGCTCATTTACATTGGGAGTAACTCCAGTGAAGTCAGCAATAGCCATAGTGCTCTACAAGTGGTGTGAGACCAGAATCATGCCCAAGGTTTCCTTCCCACCTTACTACCACTCATCCTTTCAAACAACATTCTAGGGGAACAGCCCTACTGGGATATGTGACGTAGTGGGGGTGCTGTCTGCTCTGTAACCCCGGGTCCCCCTGCGCTATGATGTGTGATTCCCACTGACTCATCAACATGTGTATTAACCCAGACACCTGGGCTCAGCCTGAGGAGATAACAGGGGAATCCCCAGGGGCAGAGACAAAGGGAGAGAGGCAGAGACCAACACCAGGTTTCAGGGGAAGGGGCAGTTGCTGGCTGGAAAACATGAAGGAAGCAGCCTTAGCTGAGGGCTGAGGGTCTAGTGATGACAATGTACCCCCTAATCCAAGGGGTCTGAGGCATCCTGGCCCTGACTCCTGAAACCACATCCCGTCTGTGCTGTGCTGTATCCTGGAGGAGCAATAAACCCTTTCTATACTACTGGTTGGCGGAGTCTCATCTTGCTGTGGACGGGGTGCAGGATCGGGGGTGTACCCAACGTGCCGCCATACAGCCCTATTGGGATAATATTTTCGGCACTTTATTCCTTCTCTTCTCCCCTTCACACAAGACATATCCAAAACGTAGGTCACTGCATGATGCTGGGAGAGCCACTCCTGTTTTCCCCACTGCATCTGTGTAGAAGAGTTTTGCCTGGTGTTGCATGAATGAATGATTTAAAAATAAGAACGGTCCTTTGTTTTGTTGGCTGGTAGAGTGTAAATTGCTATAAAGATTATTTCTTATTTTTATTGCAATAAGTCAAGTTCCCCATCAAAGTAGGGACCTCTTGTGCTAGGCATTGTATGGACATTCAGGGAAATGCAATTCCTTCTGCAAAATATGAAGTCTAATTCTAAAGAGCTGCTATTTTGTATTTACATATTAACTAATAAGGGTGATGGATAGTACAGAAGATTGGCTAGGGGTAAAGCATGTGGAATCTTTGACTGGAAGCTCCCAGGCTTGTTGAAGCTGATGACTTTACTATTCTGAAGTTGTTCAGGAGAGTGTATAAAATGAATGTGGGTTCTCGGTGTGTAGGTGTCCTTATTTGAGACTCTCGCCGTGATTAGCATGAATTCTTGCTTGGAACAGAGAAAAGTAGGAATGAATGGGGTACTTCCCTCTCGCCTGTAAAAGAAGCATCCTAGAATGCTAGAACTGGAAGGGACCTCGAGAGGTCATCAAATCTAGTCCCCTGCCCTCACGGCAGGACCAAACACCATCTATCAACCCAGATAGATGTCTGTCTAGCCTGCTCTTAAATATTGCCAGTGATGGAGATTCTACAACCTCTCTAGGCAATTTATTCCTGTTCCTTGTCACCTTGATAGGAAGTTTTTCCTAATGTCCAACTGAAACTCCCTTGCATCAATTTAAGCCCATTACTTCTTGTCCTATCATCAGAGGTTGTAACAAACTTTTAGGTATTTGACAGCTGTTATGACCCTGTGTTCTTTTTTCAAAACTAATCATACTCATTTCTTTCAGTCTTCCCTCGTAGGTCATGTGTTCTAGGCTTTTAATAATTTTTTGTTTTTCTCCTCTGGACCCTCTCTAATTTGTCCACATCTTTCCTGAAATATGGTGCCCTTGTTTTTCTTCATTCCATTTCCAAGAGAACACTAGCTATTCAAAGTGTGGTATAAATCTAAACCAATTCACCTCTGCAGCAGTCTTTATATCTTTATTCTGCAGACTTGGAAATTGAGGCACAGCAAAAACTTGCTTAGGTCTTGTGGCAAATTAAAGGAAGAGCAGGGATTAGAACTTCCTAGTTTTGGGCCTGCACTTTGATCATGGGATTGCTCTGCCACTCAGTGGGAAACTAGCTGTTGCTAGTTTCTGAGCAGTTGCATGTCGAAATAAATGTGGCTCATGGCTTTGCCCTTATTGCCATATCTCTGCCTTGTTTAATACCTTCCCTGTGAAGCTGAAGAACCCTAAGAGGTTAGTTTGTTTACAGAAAGACATGAAGCGGGGCAGAGGGAGCAGGGTAAAGGATATTTAGATTATTTAGATGTATTTAAGCAGGCAGGACCTGATGAAACTCGTCCTATGGTATTTAAGGAATTAGTAACTGTCCTCAAGAATTCATGGAGGATGCGTGAAGTCCCAAACCATTGGAGAATGGCAAAGATAGTACCCCTGTTTTAAAAGGGGGAAAAACTAGGAGGATCTGGAGAACTATAAACCAGTCAGCCTAACTTTTGATACCTGGAAAGATACTGGAACAAATTTGTAAACAATTGCTTTGTACAGGGAGGATAATAAGGTTATAAAGAGTAGCCATCTCAGGCCCATCATGGATTTGTCAAGAACAAGTCATGCCAAACCCACCTTATTCTTTGACGGGCTTGTTGGCCTGGTGGCTAGGGCGGAAGTAGTAGACTTGATGTATTGTGATTTCAGTAAGGCTTTTCACACAGTCCCACATTGTCCTAAGCAAGCTAAGGAGATGTAATCTAGATAAAGTTACTGCAAAATGAATGCACAACTGATTGAAAGATCATATTTACAGAGAAGTTACCAGTTTGACAGCAAGCCATTGGTAGAATGTCTCTACGGGGTCTGACGGGTCAGCCTGGGCACTGATAGTATTCAATATTATCGTTAATTTATATGGGCAGTAGAGTGGAGAGTACATCTTCCCAAAATTTGCAAATGTTACCAATCTGGCAGAGATTGCAAGCACTTGAGAAAACAGGGTTAGAATTCAAAAAGTCTTTGACAGAGTGGAGAATTAGTCAGCAGCATGTAATCTAATATAGACAACTGCAAAGTACATCATTATAAGAAAGAAATTAATCATGCAACTACAAATGAAGAATACCTGTCTGGAGGAGTGGTCGTGTTGCTGAAAAGAATGTGGGGGGGCTGTCAAGAATCAGAAACTGAACGAGTCAACAATTAGCAAAAAGGCTAATATTCTGGAGTATATTAATGGACACGTTTGTAAGACGTGAGAGGTAATCGCACTCTTCTTGGCACTGGCGAGGCCTCAGCAGGGATACTGTGCTAAATCCCAGGTACCACATTCAGAAAAGATGTGGACAAATTGGAGAGAGTGCAGAGAAAAGCAACAAAAAAAGATAAAATATTTAGAGAACCAGGCCTGTGAGGAAAGGTTAAACACACAACCTGGGCACATGTCGTCTTCAGAAAAGAAGACTGAAGTGGGGAACCTGATGATAAACTTCAAAAATGTTAAGGTCTGATGATAAAAAGAGGACGGTGCTTAATTGTTCTGCATATCCACTGAAGGTGAGATGAGGTAATGGACTTAATCTGCGTCAAGGGAGATTTGTTTAGACATTAGGGAAAACCATTCTAATTACAAGGATAATTAAGCTCTGGAAGAGGCTACCAAGGGTGGTTGTGGAATCTCCATTGTTAAAAATGGGTTGTTGGCCTTTTTTAAGAGCATGTTGCACAAACACTCATCAGAGATGGCCTAGGTTAGTGGTTTTAACCTTATTTAATTTGCAGAACCCTCTCTTCCTCCGCCCCCCCCACCAAAATTTTTTTGAATAGAATTGTTGGACCCCTTTGAACATGTTAGACATAGTGTGCAGACACCAGGGGTCTGCTGACCATAGGCTGAAAAGCCCAGCCCTGGTTTACTTGCTCTTACCCTAGAATGAAGGAAAGGATTAGATGACCTATGGAACCTAGACACCTCCCCCCCTCCCCCCCAACCCTACATTTATAATATTCTGTGCAAACTTGTTTTGATTTGTAAAAATTTACAACACAATCTGCTGACTATAGCTTGATCTATCCCTGGGGTTGGGGATTTTTTTGTTGTTTATATTTGGTCATATATAAACATGCTGTTCGGTATTATTTATTTATCAGGTGCATAGAATATGATGGCAAATCTAGGTGCTATGCAGAGAATTATTGGGCTGGGCAGAGCATGGTTGTGCACAATGATTCATGTTCATAGTTGCTTTCCTTAACAGTCGCTTTTACCTCCAGTCTCATCTGATGTTCCAAAGCTACCCGCATCTCTGCTGTGTGTCGCTGTGTCATGTAACCAATTCAGTGAGCTTGCCACACATGTTTCTGGATGTATGCCCTATTTTTGTCTTCTAGTACAGGTTTCATTCAGTGTCTTGTGGCGGTCTATCAGGATAAGGTTCTGGACTGATGCCTTGCTTGTGTGTTTTTGTATTTTTCCCCCCCTTTCGTCTCCTCTTTCCCCACCTTACTTGTGCAGGTCTTGTTCAGCGCTGTGTTATTATCCAGCGGGATGAAAATGGATTTGGGCTGACAGTTAGTGGAGACAATCCAGTCTTTGTGCAGTCAGTCAAAGAAGGTAAGCTGACTTGCTAAATGTGCTAGCAGACAGCAGTCCACAGGGCTTCTGTCCAGGGCAGGGAAGCATGTGAGAGGGGAAGAGAGAGATTCTAATAGCAATCCTCCAGGGCAAGGAGCTGTAGCCATCACAGATCGATGGTCAGATGCATGAGGACAGACAAGAGTAGCATTGGATTGCATGAGGCTTCCCGTCTCTCTAGTGTCTGAATTAATCAGCAATTTCTCCATTCTGTGTGGGACAGAAAATAAATGAGTTTTTATAATGTGGTCATGATGCGTCACTTGCAATGTGAAATTGTAACTCCTGGAATCATCAGGCTCATGCGAATGTCCTCTATAGATAACTCGGTTCCGCGTTGGAGAGCGGGGGCTGGGGCTAGTACAAGGGGCGGGGTTTATGAGCAGGATTAGAAAGAGGAGGATGTTTCTCTAGTCACTGGAAGTAGAAATGGATGTTAAGTGTGTCTCTCCTCTAGATGGAGCAGCCATGCGGGCTGGAGTGCAGACAGGTGATCGAATCATCAAGGTAGGAGCGCTAGTGCGATTAGTGAAAACGATCTCTGAGAAATCTAATATAGTAGTAACTGCTATTAACTGTTGGCAAATGCAGGTATTTTAATGGGGACCACCGATCTGCACGCTTCTCTAATCTATTTTCCCATTTTGAGACGAGCCGCTGACTGTGTAATGTCAGTTGGCATGTAACTTTCTAATGGAGGTGGTTGTTCTCATTTCAGAACATCCCTTGCAAGCTTCTGTACCTCCACTAGTTCAGATTTCACACGCCGAGAAAGGCCAATGAATGTAGCGAGAGGGAAAGCCAGTGAAACTTTGCCGTAAATTGAAACACACTTTGATTCCCCATGTATTCTAAGTCTTCTCCCTTTTGATCGTAAACAAATAATAAATCTAGGCATTTGGCTGTGCAATCCTCCAGGGAACCAGTGCTAAAAAAATCCTACCTCCATTGAAGTCAATGGCAAAACTTCCACTGACTCTAATTCAGCTGGGATTTCCACCCAAGTGAATTAACTAGTGAACTAAATGAGCCAAGGCTAGATTTTCCTCTGCTTCCCTACTGTTTTCTTCACCAAGATTTGCTCTAGTGCACTGCTGCTTTCTGCATGAGATTATCAGCAAAGGGAAAGCATCATATTTCTCCTTTCAAACTACCACTCTGCATTTTTAACATGTTTATAGTGGGAGGGAGGCCTTATCAATTTGCCTTCTCAAGTGGCACCCGAAAGTGGGAGCATCCTGTTCGTATATTAAAGGGCATGAAGAAAGTGAGAGCAAACCTCTGTCTAGTGGCTTCACTCTTCGTTTCTTGAGACACGATGGAGCAGTCCCTCTAAGGCAGAGACTAAAAAGTTTAATGCTCTGCTTCCCCCCCTTCCCCCCAGGTGAATGGGACTCTTGTGACGAACTCAAACCATGGAGACGTGGTGAAGCTGATCAAGTGTAAGTAAATGCAGACTAATGCATATTTGCAATGAACTCGTTGAAACCATAAAGGAGAAGATCGGTTAAGAGGTGCGAATACTACCTCCGCTATCAGGCAGTTAGTAATGGAGTCTCGCTGTGCCATTGACTGTTATGCCACCTGTCTGACAGTGCAGGGTATGTTTAAAGTAGAGGTGGTCAAATGTAGTTTTTAAGCTCTTTGAAGGCTAGGGGAAGATTTGATGATGTTTCGGCAGATACGGATTTTTTTTGCTCTTTCTCTTCCTACCATTATCCTATGGCCAAAACTACCTTCTCTTCTGTTCCAACTCCCCCATCGGCTTCATTTCTCCTTGTTTTGCCTCTTTAAGGTATGTCAGGCCTTTGCATGTGACTGATAGTTGTCATTCAAGCTGTATCTCCTGTAGGTAGGTTGTCATGTTGCAGTAGGGGAATTTGTGCTAGTTCATTCATGCAGGAAAGGGATGTGTTAGTTCTTCCCAAAGTAGCCCATGTTAATTCCTTGGTGACTACAGAGATGTATCCTAACATAGATTTATCTGGCAGACTTAAACATATGTTGTCATTGTGTAAGTGATTATAGGTTTGGGGCTACCTGAAGCTTAAAAGAGCTTTCTGGAGCAGAACTCACAGCATTTTCAGGCTCTTGGTGGGAGTAAACACCCTTTGACAGATTAACATGACGCATAGTCTGTTGCTTGTCTCTTGAGAGCTGTGAATAGTCAAGTGTAAATGGGTCTAAAATGTGAATTGTTCTTTCTCTGCCCAGCGGGTTCCTATGTAGCTCTCACTGTGCAGGGGCGCCCACCAGGGTCGTCCCAGATTCCGTTAGCCGATTCTGAAGTGGATCCAGCAGCATTTGGGCATATGTCTCCCATCATGACATCTCCCCATTCACCTGGGACATCTGGAAACGCAGAGAGGATTACTAGCCCTGTGCTGATGGGGGTAAGATTCGACGGGCCCTTTGGAGCAGGGTTGGTTGTGCAGTGGGAAAATACACTAATGTTTCATCTCCAGAGAGCTATTTTCCATTCTTGGTCAGCTGGAATTTGTATTCTGTTCATAATGGACACTTGCCAATGGCAAAACTACCATTCAGCTAAGCATCGTATATGTGGAGGAATGTAGAGAGAGCAGGGCTGGAATAGTAGGACTGTGCAGTCCTCCTGGACATTTACTAAGAAAATTTCATGATGGATATTTCATAGACCCATAGAGCTGGAAGAGACCTCAGGAGGTCATCAAGTCCAGCCCCCAGCCAGGGCTTTGTCAAGACAAGACTTAAAAACCTCTAGGGATGGAGATTCCACCACTATTTGCACATGGGCTGCCTCTAGCCATAACCATAATTCCATAACATTTGTTAGCAACCAACTGTAAGAAACACAGGCTTCTAGGGGTGAGGAAATGAGCAATTGCTTTGGGTGAGGGATTTAAAAAAGATAAACACAAAGTTCTGGCGGCTATGTTCAAAGGCAGGTGGGTAAACCTCTAGGGATGGAGATTCCACCACTATTTGCACATGGGCTGCCTCTAGCCATAACCATAATTCCATAACATTTGTTAGCAACCAACTGTAAGAAACACAGGCTTCTAGGGGTGAGGAAATGAGCAATTGCTTTGGGTGAGGGATTTAAAAAAGATAAACACAAAGTTCTGGCGGCTATGTTCAAAGGCAGGTGGGTAGAGTCACTGTAGGATAGTGACTGAGGAAACTGCTGAACCAGTTTGAATAGAGACCCTGTATTTAAGAGAGGGCGTGAGTGAGCATTTCCATGTTTTTCCTTTGAGTGCCTTAACATCTGTCCATTTTTCTCAGGAGGAGAACAATATTGTTCACAACCAGAAAGTGGAGATCCTGAGAAAGATGCTGCAGAATGAGCAGGAACGGCTGCAGGTACTGGAGAGAGCTGGGGGGGGGGAGGGGGGGGAGCAGAAGGAAGAGTGTGGGGGAGCTTGCCTGTGTCCCATCACCATGGTGGAGACAAGGTGTTCAGGACTGATTGACAGTTGAATGCTTAAGAGTGCAGGAAGTCTTCTCTTTGGGAGGCTTATGTGTGCATCTCCTCCTTTGGTCCAATCCTGAGAGATGCAAACATCTGTGAATCCTGTTGAAGGAAACAGGAGCTGTGGGTTCGCACCTTTCTCAGGATTTGGCTCCAAATTTGCTTGCCTCTGGGTATGGCAAAAGATGTATCTCTTGAGTTGAGCAGCCCTGGGAATATGGCCATCAGTGGGAATTTCTTCATACTTAGGTTGTGGAGAAGAGAGAGGAGTGCATATTATTGTAGGTGCTGTAGTACTCAGTTGCAACAGTAATAGATGTACAAATAATTCCATTAAATGGTATTTGTAATTAGTATTTCTCAGACATGCTGCTGGCATGGAGATGAGTCAGTGACTGCAGCTTCTAGGCGTCTGTCACAGGAATAGCTCACCAAATGCTTATTACATTTTTCAGTCCTTGCAAGAAGATTACAGCCGAACACCCACCCCACGACTTCTCAAGGAGATACAGGAAACTAAGAAGCACATCCCTCAGCTGCAAGAGCAGCTGTCCAAAGCCACAGGTTCTACTCAGGTAATGCGAGTGCTGAGAATCCTATCTGTCCACTCCAGCTAAGCGTACTGTATGAAAAGCTTTGTGAGTGAAAGCAGGGTGTTTCCTGCCAGTTCCTGCCAATTTCCACCCACAGACCCGCACCGCCTACCTTCATTAGCAGTCCAGATGCATACATAATTTTTTTAAAAAAAATTGTTGCTAGGCTCACAGAAGCTGGTAACTCACAGTTCTGTATATGATAAAATTACAGTATTTAATCAGAAGTTACAATGCACAGTTCCTCTGTCTTAGGAAATTGGGAGAGGCTGTGTTAAATCAATAAGGTACAATTGTATGTTAGTGATTTGATCTCTATTTGTTTCTGTATCTTTATTTCATTTTTACTTTATAGTCTATCAGATATTGCAGATTTAACTGTTCAAAAAAGAACTAGATAAGTTCATGGAGCATGGGTCCATCAATGGCTTTTAGCCAGGATGGGTAGGGATGGAGCTCCTAGCCCAGGGGTGCGCAATAATTTTTGCCCCAGGGGCCACTTCAAAATTTTTTGAAGTAGCCCCAGGCATCCCTGTAATGGGTGGGGCCTAAACAGGAAGGGGTATGGCCAAAATGGGAAGGGGTGGGGCTACCCCACCTCCAGACCATGATTGGTCTAAGGGTGGGGGAGCCCCTTTGCTCTCCCTTCCCACTAGGCACTCATGCCCTGGAAGAGGCTTGGCATGCTCCCCCACCCTCAGGCCAATCAGAGTCTGGGAGCAGGGGAGCACGCAAAGCCGCCTTCTGCCCTGCAAGGAGCACGTGACGCTTTGAAATGCCGTGCCGGGGGAGAGCGGAGAAGACTTCACATGCTCCCCTGCCCCCAAGCAAATCAGGGCCTGGGGGCAGGGGAGCTACATGAAGCTTCCTTCGCGCTCTCCTTCAAAGCGCCATGTGCTCCTGGCAGGGCGGGAGGAGGCTTCGCATGCTCCCCTGCCCCCAGGCCAATTAAGGTCTGGGATCGGGGTAGCGCGCGAAACCTTCTCCACTCTGCCCCTGTCCCGCAAGCACAGTGCAGCACTTTTAAGCATGCCCCCCATTTCCTGTTGACCAGTAGAAACAAATTTTTCCACATTGCATATTGTAAGACTGCACATGAGCACTGTGCTCTTCATGTTATTTCTTAGAAAAGCATCCCTCACCACTTCATCTGGCGTTTTACAGATCAAGCAGCTGAGGTCAGATTTTGTACCTGCTAATCATAAGTGTTCTACTCAGTAAACATGCAGTTGTCACCTCAGCGCCCTGCTTTGGCCAGGCTCTTACAATATTCTCTTTCTTAGGATGGAGTGTTGTTCTCCAGACCTGTGACGGAATCGCTGCAGATCAGTGAAGGAGAGGCAGAAAGTGGGGATGGGCTGAGCAAACTAGATTACAGTAGTGGTGACGGGTCCCGGCCAAACAGTGACATTGCTGATGTGAGTATAGGATAACTCCAAAGCTCTACCTTTTGGCCAGGCTCTTACAATATTCTCTTTCTTAGGATGGAGTGTTGTTCTCCAGACCTGTGACGGAATCGCTGCAGATCAGTGAAGGAGAGGCAGAAAGTGGGGATGGGCTGAGCAAACTAGATTACAGTAGTGGTGACGGGTCCCGGCCAAACAGTGACATTGCTGATGTGAGTATAGGATAACTCCAAAGCTCTACCTTT